AGAGTGTTATTTTGATCCTGGGTTCTTTGTGTAATGGATGTGGAGAACTGTTCAATAGTTTTAAATAGTTTACTAATATAATTATTTCCTTGTGGTTTGCTTAAAAGGATTTTGGACATAAACATAGTGACTCAGGGACATGCCAGCTGACCAAATCTATGGTGTTATTGTGATGTTTAATTAATAGTGCATATATTCACCTGAAAACTGATGATGTCTGTGTGTTACAGACCCTGGTTGCATGCACTGAAGTGTATATAACAATAAAGTAGTGAATCTCAGTCTATTTGGTTGTTGATTTATTTATTTTTTGTATTTTAAGTAGTTCTTTAGGCTCATAGGTCTCTTAACCAAACAAAAGCAAACATTTTCACAACACCCCCGTTCAAAAGTACTTCTGGCGATGTTGTGTGGAGCTGAATCATTCAAGAACAATTTTTTAACGGGTATTCCAGCACACCCTTAGTAATACGCATGCGCGCCTGATCGTCATTAGAAGCTATCCGTCCCATAGGATTGCCTCAGATTGTGCCAGTAGGCTCAGTAGGCTGCTATCACCAAGTGAATCCTAGTCCTAACCCTTAAGTCATTCCTTTTCACCCGTGGAATTAAAGTGTAATCTGAAAATAATTTCAGCAGTTCTTCATGTTCTCTAAATTAAAACTGAATAAAGATAAAATAATCAGCATGCCGCCTATGATAAACAAACTAAAACCCAATAAATCTCATATCCTGAGTTTTAGAATCCTCTCCCTATAAATGTTTAATCTCTGTGAAAAAATACAAATCATTCATCAAACGGACTTGCAATTATTAAAAAAACAAAAAACAAAACAAAAGCTAATGTGTGTGGTGGACCTATCAAACCTCCATGTAATGCGTATTACTGAGGGTATGCTGGCTAACACCAGATTCCTTTTTTTTGTCCACTTAAAATATTTGTAGGGATGAAGTTAGTTTGTCTCATTCGTTTCAGCTCTTGCATGACTCTTCTTGCTTCCTGCTGCTTCCCTTTCAGCATGTCGGGGATAACAGGAAGCACCACCAACTACTTGTGGTCGGTACATGACGTCCTCGGTCAAGGGGCCACCGCCAGCGTGTACAAGGCGCGTAACAAGGTACTCACGCCTGAAGAGCCGTTTGACATCAGCAGTACTTCCCGTATCGTTTTAGTCATCAGCTCAGACGTCTTTTGCTGATGCAGCTTCAGAGATAAGAAAGTGCTGTGGCTGCAGTGGTGTGGGCTGTCTGTGACGCTGTTGTGTGATGTTTGGGATGCGTGTTTGTGCAGAGATCCGGCGAGCTGGTGGCTGTCAAAGTGTTCAATGTGCTGAGCTACAGCCGCCCCCACGATGTCCAGATGAGGGAGTTCGAGATGCTCAGGAAGCTGAACCACAGCAACATTGTGAGACTGTTTGCTGTTGAGGAGGTAGTGATACAAATATAAGCTTGCAGATTTTTCCCATTTAAAGTCTGAACTTTTTTTCTATTTTAAAATGATGCCCACAAAAAAAGTTAAGGCTCCCGACTTTGTTGTTCTCTTGGCAGCTGCAGACGAAGCAGAAGGTTCTGGTGATGGAGTACTGCTCAGGAGGGAGTCTCCTCAACCTGCTGGAAGATCCAGAGAACGCCTTCGGCCTGCCTGAAGCGGAGTTCCTCACCGTGCTGCAGTGCATCGGTAGGTTCCCACGTGTGATTCTGGCTCACGTTTGACGTTTGTCCTCAACATGTGGCCTCCACAGTGCAGGGTATGAACCATCTGAGGGAGTACGGGGTGGTACATCGGGACATCAAGCCGGGGAACATCATGAGGCAAGTGGGAGAAGACGGCAAGTCTGTCTACAAGCTGACGGACTTTGGAGCAGCTCGAGAGCTGGAGGACGACGAGAAGTTTGTGTCTATTTATGGAACTGAAGAATATCTGGTAGGTTTTTTTTCATTTTTGAGATTAGGCAATTTAACAAGTTTTAGATTTTCTAAATAAAAAAAAAACAAAATGCAGTCCTAACGAAAATGACAACTCCACTGTAAGCCGACTATACTCTACAGAGCCCTGTCACACATGCCGATTTAGCCAGACGTCCCAGAATCATCTAAATCACTGCCATACGCTGAACTTTCTATCTGCTTTTTCAATTTTGGCCGTATGCATAGCGTATTGAAAAGTCCAGAGCTTATGTCCAACCACATTTTTCCTCCATTTTCTCTCTTTCCATGAATAGCACCCAGACATGTATGAACGCGCCGTGCTTCGTAAGCCTCATCAGAAATCCTACGGCGTGAGCGTGGACTTGTGGAGTATCGGCGTGACCTTGTACCACTCCGCCACAGGGAGTCTGCCTTTCACGCCGTACGAAGGACCCCGTAAAAACAAACTCACCATGTAAGCTGCCGTTTCTAGCGCCCATCTCAATTCTGTTTGGAGTTTCGGACACTTCCAACGTTCCCTTTCCTGTTTGACTCATTCTTTAGGTACAAGATAACCACAGAGAAACCCATGGGGGCGATAGCCGGTACTCAGCAGGTGGAAGGTGGTCCCATACAGTGGAGCTACCACCTGCCGTACAGCTGCCAGCTCTCTCAGTAAGTCTGGATATCTTTATCCTCTTTACATCCGTTTCTTTCCATTTATACTCAAAGCTGTATCTGTTTGTCTGCAGGGGTCTGAAAGTCCTTCTAGTTCCGGTGCTCGCAGGCATAATGGAGGCTGACCAGGGGAGGTGTTGGGGTTTCGACCAGTTCTTCACAGCCACTACTGACATACTGCAGCGGCAGCCGGTTCATCTGTTCTCCCTGCAGCAGGCCGTGGCTCACAGCATTTACATACATCACTACAACACGTATGTCTGCGCCTGCATGTGGTCCACCCCCCCCGATCCAATTTATCTGAAATTTCATGTTTGTGGAGGCTGACTGTAAGGAGATGACGCGGTCTGCTCGTGCGCTTTTTGTTATCTGAGAACTGAGCCAGAACTGAACCGAGCCGAGTCCTACTGATGAAGTAGTACCAGTATAGGGCAGTTCGGTTGTGTCTGGCACTGTCTGGTTCAGTTTTGCGTGCCATTTACACTCATCTTTGCACGGTTTCAAAAGGGTAGTGCAAATGGGGGGCTACTGTCACCTGAGAAACTTTGGCTGTGAATTCAAACAGGTCCAGCCTTTTGGCGGCTTTTACCGCTGTACGCTCTGTCCCCTAGCAATTGTGACAGTTAACACACAAAGCAGGAAATGAATGAATACCTAACTTTTCAAAACTGTTTCTTTTTCATTTTTTAATTTTTTTTTTCATTGGAAAGTGAACAAAGACTTCACTAATGTGGAATAAAGGTGCCAACCGACGTGAACATCAACAAATAAAAGCTAATGTAATGATACAAACCTTACTTAGTTAAACAACATGCTGCTGTCATTTTGCACATCTCTGATGTTGCTGCTATTTTCAAATATCCATTACTGTAAAAATATCCATAGCTGGATATTGGTTATTTATTCTCCAGATGCACAGTTTATTGTTTACATTTTAACTATTGTTATTGTTATACATTTTTCTAAGGTCCACATTTGTTCAATTATTTTCAATAATCTTTCTGCTGCTGTAAATTTGCCCATTGTGGGACACTGAAAAGGTTTTCTATTCTACTTTATTCTATAAAAGGGGTAGAAATATATAAGTCAATCTAAACTATGTATGTATAAATCATATATCTGCAAAATCTCTAATATTAAGCAACAATAAATACTTTAAAGCAAATTGTGCAAAACACCAATAAAAAGATAAACATTCTATCAGATTTATAGTCCCAACCCTGCAGATATATTAGAATCTGTCCTTAAAGGAATAGTACACCCAAAACATGATTAGCCTTCATTTTCTACTCACCC